GTTACAAAATTTCGATTAAAGTGTCATTTACAGAAAAAAATATCTTTTGAAACAATTTTTGGAAAAAATTATGACCCCCACCCTTATAACAACGCCAAAATCCGAAGAAAATCACTTCGATTTTCGGTATTTTAATATCATTTGAAAAATTTTTTCGAAAAAAAACCCCTTAATGACTGTTGGAGCACGACATTTAATTTATATTGTTATAGAATCCTAAATTCATAACCCGAATTGTATATGTAAATAAGATCCACTTTACTGTAACTGAAACGAGCTTGCACGCTCGTCACTTATATGAAACTTTGTACTCAGCAGCGAAGTCAGTTCAATACAGATCTCTGAAAGACACAGACAAACATTCATTGCACTTATTTGGACTCTAGTCTGCACACGGGCAGACACACATCAACACACACACACATCATCGCATTTTGGACCTGCACAAGGGCAGGTTGCTTCCACCATCGGGTTGCACAGGGGCAACACCGTACATTTGGCGACCGTGACAGGACACCTGCAGCCTTGGATTGTACTGGAATTGGAGGATCACGAAGAATCCGTCGACAACAGAACCTCTGCAGATTGGACATCTATTGGATGCACATAACCTCACATCGGGTAGCTACTCAGTTGAAGAAACAGCTCGAACCGTAAGCTAAACCAACGACAAAAGGTCATTAAAAACCAGAATTCTTTGAAAAATAAAAGGCAAAAGGCCCTTTCTTTGTTTTGAGAATTTGGCAAATGCAGTGAGCGAAGTCTAACGTGGTCAAAGCTTTCACTCAAAGTTTACTTGGTAAAGCTAAGCTTTTTGAAAAATAGTTCAAGAAAGTTAGTGTTTACATTTCACTCAACGGCTTTAAAACTGTATCCACAATCGCTGTAACCTGCACATCACCTAAGTTTGTGTTTATTTCTGCTAATATATTAATCTATCCCACAAGATGACAAAACCGTCAGTAGAGGAGCAGCTGGTGTGTCTCAGGCGCAAGCGCGCCGTGCTGGAACAGAATTTCAAGAGCAGCAAAGAACGAGCTTTGGCTGCTACTGTCATCGATTCTAGCACGGCGGAGTGCAGATTGCAAGTGTTAGAGTCCCACTATAGGCAATTGGCTCAAATTCAGCTGCAAATCGAGGAGTTGGATCCAACGGAGAATTCTAGATCCGAACATGAAGAAGATTATATTGTTAGCAAGGCGACTCTGATGAAAAGGATAGCTTCGAATAGGCCGCAGCGGTCTGATGAGTTAAGCGTCACAAATTCCACGTTCTTAGGTAGCGGAAACCATAGCCGGCTCCCTGCTCTCAAATTGCCAAGGTTTGACGGAAAATATAGTGATTATAAACGCTTTATTTCTGCATTTAAACATATGGTCGACGAAGATGCTAGCATTACAGAAGTGGACAAATTTACATATCTACTTAGTTGCTTATCTGGTCCAGCGTTAAACGTTGTGTCAGCCTTTCAAGTTTCAGATGCCAACTACCAAAAGGCTCTAAATCAGTTACAAGAGCGTTACGATAAGAAAGTATTAATTCTTATTGAGCATGTCACCAGTTTATTCGGCATTTCTCACATGAAGAAGGCTGACCCGTGCTCTCTTCGACAAATTTTAGATACTGTCTCAGCACTTCTTGGCTCGCTTCTTTCTCTTGGCACTGAGAAAGACATTCTTAGTGCAATAATCATTCATCTCGTCCTGCAGAAAGTCGATTCTGATTCTAAACAAGCATACGACAGAGCCCAGGTGTATGAAAATCTTCCGAAGTGGGAAGATTGTTATAATATTTTGAGCAGACATTGTCAATTTTTAGAGTGTCATCAAAAATCTCCAGTTGAAGGTAAACCATATGAGAAACGTTTTGAAAAACCCAGTTATTCTCGAAAGGCATTTATAGCTGTCAAACGGAGTTGTTTTAAATGCAATTCAACTGATCATAGCTTAGGATCATGTCCATTATTCATTTCACTCTCGTTCGAAAAGCGTCATAGCTGGGCAAAGCAAGCTACTTTATGCTTAAATTGTTTACATAAAGGTCACATTGCCGCAGATTGTCCTTCGAAATTTCGTTGTAGGACATGTCACGGATTACATCATTCCTCTTTGCATCGCCCAGCCGATCCCAAGACAGCGATTGAAATAGGTGAAGAGCAAGACAATTCACAAGCCAGCTCATCAACCCAGGTGTTTGCTGGACTTACACGTAACTCAAAACGCTCGCTTATCCCAACAGCGCTCATCCTAATTAAGGACAAGTATGGCGTGTTTCATTCTGCTAGAGCTCTGCTAGACTCAGGGTCAGAAGTCAATTTTATGACAGAAACTCTAGCGAAGACCCTTCAGATACCATTTAAGCGAAAGAATTTTGAGGTATCGGGAATTGGGAACCTTCGAGAGCATGTAAAGTTTTCTTTAGAAGCAACAATTCGGTCTCGGTTATCAGCTGATGAGTGGACACTGCAATTTTCAATCACGAAATCTATAGCTCAGCAGCAGCCGGAACGCTGCATAGATACATCGCAATGGTCGATCCCTGAAGACATCGATTTGGCCGACCCACAATTCTTTAAGCCTCACAAGATTGATATTTTGATCAGTACGCAGGAGTTTTTTGATTTGCTGACTGGTCAAAAGCTATCGTTAGGACCTGGTTTACCTTGTCTACTCAACACATCGCTCGGTTGGATTGTTGGAGGCAAAATCGAAAACGGCTTACAACCAGACGCAAAGGCGCACGCATTTTCTTGCAATGTTTTTAAGACCCAAGATCTTAACGATGCCCTAGCACAGTTTTGGAAAATCGAATCATTTGAGGACATAAGCAAAAACAGGTTTACGCTTGAAGAAGAAGAGTGCATTCAACATTTCTTTAAGCACGCTGTTATTCTTGACTCCGGTCGAATTCAAGTCCGTTTGCCATTTGCACAATCCCCAACTAGTCTCGGAAGTTCGTTGGAAAATGCCAGACGGCGTTTCCTTCAGCTTGAACGGCGATTAGGACGCCTACCTGAACAAAAGAAAATGTACACCGAGTTTATGCAAGAATACATTGATCTTGGCCACATGGAACTCGCATCTGATTTTAATATTAACCAACCTCATTATGTCATACCGCATCATGCCGTGTTGCGGCCACAAAGCTCAACAACTAAACTGAGAGTTGTTTTCGATGCCTCCGCTAAAACGACATCGAATTTGTCTCTGAACGACATCCTAATGGTTGGACCCACGATCCAACAAAATCTGATTCTCACTCTGCTGGCATTTAGACTACACAAATTCGTTTTCACAGCCGACATAACTAAAATGTATCGGCAATTCATGATTGATTCTAAAGACCGTAATTTCCAGCTCATTTTTTGGAGAGATTCGATTGATCAGCCCATACAGTTATTTCGATTAAATACTGTAACTTATGGCCTGGCAAGTGCCCCATTTTTAGCGATTCAAAGTCTTAACTTCATCGCCAAGAAGTACGAAAACGAATTCCCAATTGGATCTCATACTTTACAGAATGACATGTACGTGGATGACCTTCTCACAGGAGCCGACAGCTTAGAGGACTTGCAAGTGAAAATGCTTCAGACCAAGAAAATTCTTCAACGAGCAGGTTTAAAGTTGTCAAAATGGAACTTTAGCGGTGAGAGTGATTTTTTAGGAGAATACCAATTCAAGGTGGATGGTAAAGAAGTGATAAAGGCCTTGGGAATGTTATGGAAACCGTAAACGGATATATTTTGTTTCCGCTTTGATCTGCCGAAATCCGAAGCTTCCTCCAAGAGGCAAATTATTTCTGTCATTGCAAGTTTGTACGACATCCTTGGACTCCTAAGTCCAATCATTATCAGGTACAAAATTTTTGTACAAGAACTTTGGAGGAATAGTCTAGAGTGGGATGAGCCGCTGCCTGATGCGCTGCAAGAAAGATGGCGGCAAATCGAGCCTGATTTACACATTTTAGACCAAATTGAAATTCCAAGGTTCGTCAATTCCTCGTCTAGTATGGAGTGCGAGATACACGGGTTCGCAGACGCCTCAGAGCGTGCATACGGGTGCTGTATTTATCTCCGATCATCTCAAGGAAAACAAGCTATTTCGCGTTTAGTAATTGCAAAATCAAAGGTAGCGCCTGTTCAGACTATCTGTCTACCAAGACTTGAGTTGTGCGCAGCCTTGCTTCTTTGCGAAACATGGGATAAAATCAAACATAAGTTTGAGAATATATCCAAGAAGGTTACTTTTTGGTCAGACTCGACAATTGTCTTACACTGGATTACAATGCACACATCCCAACTTAAGTGTTTCGTAGCCAATCGGGTGTCAACTATTCAAATAAAGTCCGCGAACATCAAATGGCGACATGTTCCGGGTAAGGAGAATCCAGCGGATATCGTTTCGCGAGGATGTGCCGCAGCCGATCTACAAAACGCAATCTGGTTCAGCGGACCAACATTTCTTCGCTTCAACGAATGCACTTGGCCAAAGGAAAAACCAATTGCCAACTCAGCGGACAACGCATTAGAATTGCGAAAAGTGGTAACTTTTAAATGTGGCGATAGCAGCATCGAGAGAACAATAATTGAAAGGCTCATCAGCAGAATCTCTTCATATACTCGAATTGTTCGGATCGTAGCTTTCATATTTCGAGTTTTCAACGGCGTTCCTCCCAGCAAAGAGCTTCGTGCCTCACAGCCAAACGAACTTGAGGCCAATGAAATTCAGAAGGCATTTATCTACATCGTCTCCACAATACAAAGCCAAAGTTTCGCAACGGATTTAATTGACATACAAAAGGGAAATCGTCTTAGTCCAAATCTTAGAAAATTGACTCCGTTCGTAGCTGAAGCTGATATTGGCAATCGATCTATACAAGTAATTCGAGTCGGCGGCCGTCTAGCAAACGCCCCAATCCCTGTCGATGCGAGATTCCCATTGCTTCTTCCTAGCGATCACTTGTTCACTTATAAGTACGTTGAACATCTTCACAAAGTCAATATGCATGCAGGCCCCAAAGCGCTAATTGGATTACTAAGACTTCAAATATGGACCGCAAATGCTCGTCGCATCACCACCAAGGTGGTCAAAAATTGTGTTCATTGTTGCCATTACAAGCCCAGGCTAATGCAACAAATTATGGGATCCCTGCCAGCGGAAAGGCTGACCCTAACCAAGCCGTTTGCCATCTCAGGAGTAGATCTATGTGGACCATTTTCTACCTCCTATCGGATTCGTGGAAAGGTTCCATATAAAACTTATATGGCCGTATTCATCTGCTTTGCGACCAAAGCAGTTCACGTTGAACTTGTATCAGACCTCTCCACTAATACCTTTGTTTTATGTTTAAAGCGCTTCGTTGGACGCAGAGGACTTCCAGAGAGCATTTGGTGCGACAACGCAACTAATTTTGTTGGTGCTCATTCCCAACTCGAAGAATTCAGGAAGCAGCTCTTCAGTCAGCAGGCGCTGCAAGACCTACAAACGTTTACCGCTTCAACAGGCGTCTCGTTTCATTTCATCCCTCCCCGTGCGCCGCACTTCGGCGGGCTCTGGGAAGCGGCGGTGAAATCGATGAAACATTTGCTGGTGAAAAACATTGGCAATTCTGGTCTTACATACGAGGAGCTGCAAACTGTTGCCATTGAGGTCGAAGCAGTTCTTAACTCGAGACCAATATCGCCGATATCCGAGGATCCGAACGACGGAGAGGCTCTAACCCCATCACATTTTTTGTTAGGTTCGTCTCTAAAGGCGCTTCCGGAACCATGTCTGGAGGATCGAAATTCCAACAGTCTGACTCGCTGGCAGCGCGTCACATACCTCAAGCAGCAGTTTTGGAAGCTCTGGCGACGGGACTACCTTCACACGTTGCAACTTCGAAGCAAATGGTTGACGCCGCAAGCCAACATCACGCCTGGACAGCTAGTGATCATCCATGATGACAACACTCCACCTCAGCAGTGGCCTCTCGGTCGAATCTTAAACACTTGTTTTGGAGCTGACGGAAAGGTCAGAGTTGTCGACATAAAGACGATGAAAGGAGTTACTCGCCGACCCATCTGCAAAATTGCGCCGCTCCCAGTTTAAGCAATCTGTTGCAAGAACTTGAGTCCTTCCAACGGGGGGAGGATGTTGGAGCACGACATTTAATTTATATTGTTATAGAATCCTAAATTCATAACCCGAATTGTATATGTAAATAAGATCCACTTTACTGTAACTGAAACGAGCTTGCACGCTCGTCACTTATATGAAACTTTGTACTCAGCAGCGAAGTCAGTTCAATACAGATCTCTGAAAGACACAGACAAACATTCATTGCACTTATTTGGACTCTAGTCTGCACACGGGCAGACACACATCAACACACACACACATCATCGCATTTTGGACCTGCACAAGGGCAGGTTGCTTCCACCATCGGGTTGCACAGGGGCAACACCGTACAATGACAATGGAGAAAATCACCTTGATTTTTCTCTTTTTTATTCAAAACTCTGGGAAACGGTGGTCGAAATTTGGAATGGCATACCTCGTTGAATTCGTTACAAAATTTCCAACAAAGTGTCATTTACAGAAAAAAATATAATTTGAAACAATTTTTGGAAAAAATGATGACCCTTATGACAACGCCAAATCAAAACAAGAGAGAACGCTGTAGTCGGGTGCCCCGACTATCAGATACCCGTTACTCAGGTAAAGGGAGTGCGAGGGAGATGGAGATAGAAACTTTGATCACGCATAACTTTTTAACGAATGGTTCGATTTGAAAAATTTCTTCTACATTTCAATAGGTATTGATAAACACAATAAAAATGCATTTTTACTTTTCCGAAATATTTAAATTTTTAAAATCGTATATGAGCGATTGTGGGCGTTAAAGGGGGCGTGGCACCTTTTTGAAACAAACTTGCGCTGCGTAGGAACTCCTAGAATCTGCATGCAAAATGCCAATCTTCTAGCTTTTATAGTTTCCGAGATCTCAGCGTTCATACGGACAGACAGACAGACGGACAGACGGACAGACGGACAGACGGACATGGCTATATCGACTCGGCTAGTGACCCTGATCAAGAATATATATACTTTATAGGGTCGGAAACGCTTCCTTCTAGCTGTTACATACTTTTGCACGAATACAATATACCCTTTTACTCTACGAGTAACGGGTATAAATATCGTTTGAAAAATTTTTTCGAGAACGCCCTTATGACAATGACCAAGTCCGGAGAAAATCACCTCGATTTATCGTTTTTTTAATCAAAACCCTGGGAAATAGTGGTCGAATGTTGGAATGGCATACCTCGTTGAATTCGTTACAAAATTTCCAACAAAGTGTCATTTACAGAAAAAAATATCATTTGAAACAATTTTTGGAAAAAAAATGATGACCCACACCCATATGACAACGCCAAAATCCGAAGAAAATCACCTCGATTTTTGGAATTTTAATCAAAACCCTGGGAAATAGTGGTCGAATGTCGAAATGTCATACCTCGTTGAATTTGTTACAAAATTTCCAACAAAGTGTCATTTATAGAAAAAAATATCATTTGAAACAATTTTTGGAAAAAAATGATGACCCTCACCCTTATGACAACGCCAAAATCCGAAGAAAATCACCTCGATTTTTGGAATTTTAATCAAAACCCTGGGAAATAGTGGTCGAATGTCGGAATGGCATACCTCGTTGAATTCGTTACAAAATTTCCAACAAAGTGTCATTTACAGAAAAAAATTTCGGTATTTTAATCAAAATCCTGGGAAATAGTGGTCGTATGTTGGAATGGCAAACATCGTTGAATTCCTTACAAAATTTCCGACAAAGTGTAATTTACAGAAAAAAAATTGCATTTGAACAAATTTTTGAAAAAAAAAATAACGACCCCCACCCTTATGACAACGCCAAAATCCGAAGAAAATCACCACGATTTTCGGTATTTTAATCAAAACCCTGGGAAATAGTGGTCGTATGTTGGAATGGCATACCTCGTTGAATTTGTTTTTTCGAAAAACCCTTATGACAATGTTGCATTCGTTACAAAATTTACAACAAAGTGTCATTTACAGACAAAATATATAATTTGAACAAAGTTTTGAAAAAAAGAGGTCCCCCACCCTTATGACAACGCCAAAATCCGAAGAAAATCACCACGATATTTGTAATTTTTTTATATCAAACCCTGGGAAATAGTGGTCAAATGTTGGAATGGCATACCGAGTTGAATTCGTTACAAAATTTCAAACAAAGTAGAATTTACAGAAAAAAATATCGTTTGAAAAATTTTTTCGAAAACGCCCTTATGACAAGTTTCAAGTCCGGAGAAAATCACCTCGATTTATCGGTTTATTAATCAAAACCCTGGGAAATAGTGGTTGAATGTTGGAATGGCATACCTCGTTGAATTCGCTAAAAAATTTCGAACAAAGTGGAATTTACAGAGAAAAGTATTATTTGAAAAATTAAAAAAAAAAAAAGCCATGACACTCATCTTTTGACAAAGTAAAAATCCGGATAAAATACCCTCTATTTTTCGGCTTTTAATCAAAACACTGAAAATTAGTGGTCGGATGTTGGAAACCACCGAACCGCGTAGACGTGTCTTTTTGCTCGCCCTGCCGAAAGACTTCCAAAAATCTACAAAGTGATCACCAAAAATAAGAAAAATAGCGAAAAGACGCTGGCAGCAATGCCATATCCCAAGGTCAACACCTCCTTGTGATTAAAACTAAATTTAAACAAGAGAGAATCAGATACCCGTTACTCAGGTAAAGGGAGTGCGAGGGAGATGGAGATAGAAACTTTGATCACGCATAACTTTTTAACGAATGGTCCGATTTGAAAAATTTCTTCTACATTTCGATAGGTATTAATAAACACAATAAAACTGCATTTTTACTTTTCCAAAATATTTAAATTTTTAAAATCGTATATAAGCGATTGTGGGGGGGCGTGGCACCTTTTTGAAACAAACTTGCGCTGCGTAGGAACTCCTAGAATCTGCATGCAAAATGCCAATCTTCTAGCTTTTATAGTTTCCGAGATCTCAGCGTTCATACGGACGGACAGACGGACAGACAGACAGACGGACAGACGGACTATATCGACTCGGCTAGTGACCCTGATCAAGAATATATATACTTTATAGGGTCGGAAACGCTTCCTTCTAGCTGTTACATACTTTTGCACGAATACAATATACCCTTTTACTCTACGAGTAACGGGTATAAACAGATCTAGTTAATCAAAAACAATTAAAAATGTCGAACGCAAATAAAATATTAACAAGTGCAACCGGTAAAGCCACGAAGCCAAGTCGCGATCGGCAACAAATATAACTAGACGAACGGCGGCTGTCTTCTGCACGGAACAATGCTTACATTTCAATTGACTCATCGGAGGCAACAACAAAATCAACGTCACTGACCGCTACCGAAAGAGCCCGATCACTGTCACCAGCGATTTTATGCTCAAGCAGCGCTGCCGTTACTCAGTCGTGGAGTTCACAATGCCCGTCACTCTCTCTCTCATCGATGCACCGACTACATCGGCTTGTGCGCCCACCAGCACTGTACCCTCTCATACTACAGCAACGTCAACGACAACAACAACTTTAACGTCTGCGGCTACCCAGTGGCCTATCTCAACACCACAAGCAAAACTCAGCTCTACTGACCCTCTTACGAATAATACTCTCGTACAGACGGGGATCGATCCGTATGTACAAATAAAAAGAAAGCTTATTCCACAAAAAAACGTAAACTCAAATTTGCCAAAAGTACCGAAAACTTTAGGCAACACACGAACATCCGAAAACAGATTTGCCATACTTGGCGAGACCGAAGAAGACAAGGGTCAGGCGCCTCAAGTCATGAAAGCTGTAAAGCCACCGCCAATATATATTAGGAAACACAACAGTGTCGATCTGATCAATAAGCTTAAACAAGTAATCGGGCCTAATCACTTCTATATCAACACCCTAAAAAGAGGAAACATATTAGAAGCAAAACTCCAGGTTAACAACGAAGACAACTTCCGTTCTGTAACAAGATATCTCGACAATGAGCTCATAAATTACTACACTTACCAACTAAAAAGTAAGAAAGGCCTACAAGTTGTACTGTTGCGGTAGCAGAAATAGCTGAAGGCCTCACGGAAAAAGGCTTCGACGTTAAGCACATCGTGAGCATAGTAAACAGGGATAAAATTCCTTAACCACTGTTTAAGATTGAGCTGGCCCCAGAGACGAAACCTCTAAAGAAAAATGCAACGCATCCTATTTACAATCTGCAATATCTCCTTCACCGAAGAATCACCGTAGAGGAACCGCATAAGCGGAACGGCCCCGTACAGTGTACAAACTGCCAGGAGTTCGGGCATACAAGAACCTACTGCACCCTGCGACCAGTTTGTGTCGCCTGTGGAGATTTGCATTGCATTGAAGCATGCCTGGGAAACAAAGAAGACCCTACTCTGAGGAAATGCAGTAACTGTGGGGGAAATCATACTGCCGACTACCGGGGCTGTCCCGTCTACAAAGAACTCAAGAGCCGCAGTAATCCATTCGCCGCTCAACACTCTGCTCAACCAAACATCTTCACCCCATCAACAACCACTCCTGGTGTCTCCTTCGCCAACGCACTCCGCTACCCTGGAATCTCACAAACATCTACCGCCCAGCCTGCAGCATTGCGTCCACAGCCACCCATACCAAACCTAAATGATTTTCCGCTCTTAAGCCAAAATGGCCAACTCAACCTTCTACGCAGCAAAACCAAACTCTTCCCCCACAAACACTTAGCGGTCTAGAATCTACACTAGCTACTCTTGCAAACGTCATGATGACGATTTAAAGTTCCCTTCAAGAACTACTGCGAAACCAGAGCCTTCTAATTGAACTGCTGATCAAACAAAAGTCTGTATAAATGGACTCCTTAAGAATATGCTTCTGGAACGCAAACGGCGTTTCCCGGCACAAAAACGAACTCCTACAGTTCCTAAACAGCCACAATATCGATATCATGCTACTTTCTGAAACCCATCTAATTAATAACAAGAAAGGAAAGCTAACTTCGGGCGGAGCCGA